GTATGTATGTTTGTGTGGGGTGGGGTGGGGGGGGGGGGTGGGGTTTGTGTGTGTCTGTGTAAGTCTGGATTTTTTATATAGGTAAACTTGTATGTGCATATATATCAATGCATAATGCCCATATGTAAAATACCATTCTTGCCATGGAATATCAACAGACGGGAGACAAATAAAATTAAATGTAAATTCTTGTGAACGCAATAAACTTACTCTATTGTTGGGTATGCCCCCTTTTTCTCTCAAGTTCTTCAGTGTCCAGAGCCTGCGATTGTTCATGCTGTACATATATCCTTCCTTGTCATACAAAACCGTAATCTTTGGCAGTTGCGACACTCTCAGGCTCTCATCTACCAACTCTGCCAAGGTATCTTCCAGCTTCCGTCCACATGAAAATGTAGGACTTATTTTCGAGTGTGTAAACCTGACCTCCATAGGATCAATATCTTCTAAGTGTTCTCCGGCTCTTAATTTCTCATTGAGCTCGCCGGCATCACCTTTGCTTGATCCCTTGCTACCCTTTTTGGCCTTTGTTGGCTGCTTTTTATCGCGTCCCATAGTCACTTAAGTGGAAGTATGACCCCTAATCTGTCTGCCCTTCTGTCTAATATAAAGTATGGTAGAATATGTGTATATTGCTAGCATATACTGCCACACAAGGTAGACGCATGCAGGTGATTGTTTCTCATATAATATATACTTTAAATATCTATATATATAGATATCGTACGTTCTCACCATAGGCTACTATTTATTTATGGATTTTAAATCTATATCATTTGCATCAAACTGCCTGGGTTGACCAAATATGGCGGCAATGGGAATTTGGCGGGTCTCCGATAAACATGACGGGTTGATAAATATCGTGTCATTTTTGGAGGGCCATGTATTTTGATATGTATTCTTTAAAAAATACATAATTGTTGCTGCTATATGCTGGTGGCGTTCATTTATGATAGAGTTTGCGGTTCGAGCTATACAGTATTGCATAGTTACGCACTCGTGTTTACTTACTATCGTCATCATCTTCAGGTGAACGTAGCATCCTAGAGACTCATGTGGATCTCCATCCGGTCGCGGGTGGTGCCTTCGGTCAGCCGCCTGCAATCGAGTATGTTTTAATTTCTCGACTCAACCTTACCTGTCGAAATGAACTGGAGATTTGTGCATTTTTTTTATAAACCAAATATAGCGCCTGTACGCTAAGAGCTAAATGGATATGAAAGCATTTGGCCTGATATAATGTTGTCCCTAGTGGTTTCTAAATAATTTCTAATTGCATGGTCTTCCTAAAAATGTGCTAAACCTGAGATGGAAATTTGGGTCTGTAGTGATACCAGTCGCTTACAGCGACCTATGTAATAAATCTCAACTTGGCCATCAACGTTCAAGCCAACCAAACAAGAAACATACTACAGCAGCGTACTATATTCACATCAAACTATATTCATCATCATGGACGCGAGGTTATCATCCGCTATTACAGATACTACCGGATTCGAGATGCGCTGCAGTTGTGTATGTAGCTACCGAAAGCTAATTTACAATCAGATAATATATGTATGCACGCACGCCTACACACACGTATACGCACCTGTATTCTCATTGTGGTACTGTAC